AAGAAAACAGGGAGAAGAGAAGAAATGAAGAGGAGAGGAAGAGAATGAGAAGAGAGAGAGCAGGGAGATAGAGAAAAAAGAAAAAAAAAAGGGGGGGGGAGTTGAAAGAATCCATAGGTGTGTACAATGAGGTAGCTCGTATGCTCTCTCCTAATCTGGCCGCCCTAGGATGTTCACTCAAGTCACTATTGACTTGGGAGAGTGAAATCTCAGGCAGTGGAAGTTCTATTGATGTCAGTGAACAAAAGTGTGAAGGAGCAAATAATAGGAAGTAAGGATACAAACAGTGTTTTGATTTTCCATTACTGTAGCATATTCTGTTGTGGATTGGAAATGTGGCCAGCAGGCCCAAGTTTTGTAAAATTTTGAATATTTGTCGTGGGTAATGTGTAGAAGCTCTCCCAAATCTGCTTATCTGTTTAGATTCATAATCCACTCTCTTTGGGTAGGGATCTGTTGTCAATTCCAATAGCATGGAATGCACATATGAGCTACAGTAATCATATGCATTGCTAGTGATTTGTGGAAATTGGGAATAGGGGATGTGGAATGGAAAAGCAAATATCGGGCCAATGTAAAATCCAACCTAACGGAAGATACTTGCGTGATAGTAGTGTGTACCAATCCCCAATAAGGTTTCAGAAGTGTGCAGTCCCACCACAGATGTAGTAAAGTGCCTTCAGCTTGAGAGCACCTCCAAAAGGTATTGGGAACCGTACAGTATATTTTGTGCAGAAGATGAGGGTTTCTGTACTGTCTAGAGTAAACCTTAAAGTTATGTTCCTGTATGGATATACTGATGGAACCTTTATGGATCAACGTGTGCACTTGGTTACATTGCTCCTCTGATAAAGATATCCACAAATCCGCTTCCCATAACCATACATAATGACACGAGTCAAGAGGAGAGTCATCAAGTAGAATAGAATAAATGGAGGAAATCAGGTGTCTCCTTGGGACTCAAGAAAGGCATAGTAAATAGAAAGGCATTGGAGATTGGCTATATGCTAAACTGGCATCTTTTTGTAGTAAGAAGTGTTTTAATTGGAGGTAAGACCACCAGGGAAACGAGACCGTAGATTCTGGATCTTTCAGAGACTCATGGGTTTGCAGGAGACCCTTCTGGAAAAAGTCTCCGGCTCTCTGGCAATTTAGTTTCTGACACAGTGTACAAAATTGTGTATCTAGGCCTTGGGGAAAAGCTGGGTTGGCGAATATTGAGGTCATCAGGTCCAGGATTGAAGAAAGTTTACCGTTCTTACATGAGCCAATATAGCAGGTAAAAAGTGGACCAATGAGAGAATGTTTAATGATCCTGGTGCACTTGTTGTCACTAGGGGTCCAGGGAGCCAATGTAAGAGGAATTTCTGCTAAGTCTTGTTCCAGCTTTACCCATGCTTTGGTGGAAGCATATACAGTATACGTAGCATCTCAAAGGTGATATAAGATCTTCCTCTTTGAAAGTCAGATAACCTGATAAAAGATCTATCGTACCACCAATGGAACGGAAAGCCTGTGAAGAGGAAAATGCTGTAATAAAATTTGGGTCACCAAAAAATGATGCACCTGGAGAGACAGAGGAGACCATAACGAACAGGGGGGGGGGGGGGGATTTTGGACCACAATATGCCTGGTAAATAAAATGGACGTATAGATTGAGATTCAAATCTGATCCACGGGATCTGGGAATTAATAGTCGCCCATTGTGATAATTGTGCGAAACGGGCCAATAGGTAGTACAGCCAAAAATTGGAAAGACTGAGGCCCTCCCGTGCTTTGCGACCGGAACCGATGAAGTCAAGTGGAGACGTTTGTTTTGCCAGAAAAAATTATTAATCATCCTTTGAAATCAATCTAGGAATGTTTTCGAGACAGGGATTAGGAGTGCTCTAAATAGATATAGTAATTTAGGCAAGATATTAATTTTGACTGCTGTGACTCTACCCAAGAATGAGATAGGGTAACCATGCCAGATCTTCAATAGAGTAGAGAGGCGTGATACACACGGTGGGTAATTAGCAGCAAATATTTTTGAGTATCTGGGAGTAAGGTTAATACCCAAGTAGGAAATCCGATCTGTGACCCAATGAAATGGAAAAGAATTACAGAGAGATGCACTCAGGGAATCAGGAACATGATAGGCATAACTACTGATTTAGAAAAATTTACAGTACGACCTGACACTATAGCAAAGTCATTCAGTACTGTGCATAAATTAGGCAATGAAATTAATGGTTTAGTAAGGAAAAGCATAACATCATCAGCATGCATACAGATTTTAAAGTGTGAAACCAATAATGGGTAACAAGAGATATTCGAATGTCATCTTATTGCAATTGCCAAGGGTTCCAACACTAGCGCAAATAATAAGGGCGAAAGAGGACAACCCTGACGGGTGCCCCTGCCCAGTGTAAAAAAATCAGAGCTTCAGCCTGGAGCCTTATTCTTTTTTTAGGGAAGTCAAACAAGGCATGTACGCCAGGCAGAAACTCATCACTGAAGCCCATCCTCTGCAGAAATGAAAACAAATAGGGCCAAAGAACAGTATCAAAGGCCTTGTTAATGTCCAGGCTCAGTAACAAGACTTCTTTAGAACGCAAATTGGCATCCTGAATAACATTTAATGTGAGACGAATGTTATCCGTGATAAGTCTGTCTGGGATAAATATGATTGGTCCGGAGAGACCAAAGAGGAGATAGTAGGGGCCAACCTATCTGCTAGAATGCGGCTGAATATTTTCAGGTCATTGTTCATTACCGAAATCGGTCTATAATTTTGAGTTAGATGATGGTCTTTTAGTGGTTTAGGTAATAGAGACATGTTAGCCAACAGCATCTCCTTGGGAAACCTACCTCCCTGCAAGACAACATTAAATAAAGACATTAAAAAGGGAGCCAATGTAGGGGCAAAATGTTTATAATAACTGGCAGTAAACCCACCAGGAACCCGGTGCTGTGAAAGTTTTTAGAGCTCTAATCGCACGGGTTATTTTCTCCAATGTGCATGGAGCATTGAGAGAGGATATCTGAGAGGGTGTGAGAGCAGGGAGGGGTATAGAATCTAGCCATGAGCCGTTTTGGGGAAACGGAAGTTAATTGCAGGGGAGCTAATAGGTTGGAGTAGAAATTTTCAAAAATACCCAGGACTTCATGAGGAAGAGAGGAGGTACTACCGGATTTAGTACACAACTTATAGATGTGTGGGGGTCGTGTAGAATGGTTTAATTTCCGTGCGAACATAGTCGACGTTGGTTACTATGTAATAAAAAGGAGGCCTTCGACCAGCGTAGAACTGTTTCAGTTTTCTGGAAAAGCAAAGCATTCAATTCTAAACGCTTTTGTGATAATAACGTTTTGTTAAGGAGAGATGGATTACCAACATGAGTTCTATAATGTGCTTCTAATTCTCAGGTAAGTTTTTGAATTTGTTTCCACTGTTCTCTATTTCTAGAAGAAGCTATGGAAATAAGGAGGCCCCGCAGAACTGCCTTATGGGCTACCCACAGTGTGGCCAGAGAGATATCGGTAGTCGTTAAGTCTCCAGGAGTAGGGGGTAGGTGCTAATCCTATACATGTGATGGATAGCGCGATAATATTGTGGTCCGACCAGGGGCTTAAATGGATGCAAGCTTTCCTAGAGTTAGCTAGCAGAATGGGGGAACAGTAGATATAATTTAGTCTAGCATAAGAGTCATGTGGGTGGGAGTAAAATGAATAATCTCTAGCTCCTATATTATGTGCCCTCCAAGAATCTACCAGCTGGAGTGAATCCAATTTTTTCGTAAAGGATTTTGGGAAAGCTTGGGAGGATGGTGAGAATGAGCATCGGTCTAAAAGGGGGTTAGCTACCAAATTAAAATCACCTCCCATCAGTAAATGGGGGATAGAAAACCATCGAGAATCTTGAAAAACCGGGAAAAAAAGGATGCCTGTGCCGAATTAGGTGCATAGACATTAGCGATCGTGAGTTCACGACCCGAGAGGGTGCCTTTAATAATGATAAACCTGCTTTCAGGGTTGCGATAGACCTGTTGAACATCGAAGGGAAATGAGTTGTGTAAAAAAATGGCCACGCCTCTACTTTTAGTAGAGTGTAAGGTGTAGAACCCGTTTGTAAGATCTATGAAAATATGTTGGGTATTTAGCGGCTGCAAAATGGGTTTCCTGTAGTAAAATAATTTTTGCCCCAAGGCGTTTATATTGAAGAAAGGCAGTTTTGTGTTTATTTGAAGTGTTGAAATCCTGGACATTATGTGAAATACACCGAATTACCATGGCAAACAAGAATCATGTCTATCGGCATTATAGTATACATTTGAAAGGTATCCCATATAGTTTTTCTAAATAGTGGAACATACAGATCCACATCAGACAAGAGTAAATCCGCCAGTATCAATTTATGCAGCATCCAAGCCCCAAAATGGGGGTCGGGACGTCCACAAACCGGAGCATAAGCAACATCATGTAGAAAAATTGTCAAAGAAAAAGAAACATAGAGTAATAGAATTGGAGCTTTAACCACTTGCCTACCAGGCACTTATACCCCCTCATTTACCAGGCCAATTTTCAACTTTGATTGACAATTGCGCGGTCATGCAACATTGTACCCATATGAAATTTTGATAATTTTTTTCTCACAAATAGAGCTTTCTTTTGGTGGTATTTAATCGCCACTGGGCGCTTTACTTTTTGCGCTATAAATAAAAAAATTGCAAAAAATGTGAAAAAAAAAAAAAGTTTCTTTGTTTCTATTATAAAATTTTTCAAACAGGTATTTTTTCTCCTTCACTGATGTGCGTTGATAAGGCAGCACTGATGGGCACTGATAGGCGGCACTGATGGGCACTGATAGGCAGCACTAAAGGGCACTGATAGGCAGTACTAATGAGGTGGCACGGATAGGCGGCACTGATAGACAGCACTAATGAGGTGTCACGGATAGGCGGCACTAATATGCAGCACTGATAGGCGGCACTGATAGGTGACACTGATGATGGGTACTGATAGACGGCACTGACTGGCATCACTGCTGGGCACTGACTGGTGGCACTGACTGGCACAACCCCTGGGCACTGACTGGTGGCACTGACTGGCAGCACTGCTGGGCTGCACTGGTGGGTGGCACTGGTGGGCAGCACTGGTGGGTGGGCACAGGTGGGTGGCACTGGTGGGCACAGGTGGGTGGGCACAGGTGGGTGGCACTGCTGGGCACAGGTAGGTGGCACTTCTGGACACATGTAGGTGGGTGCACTGCTGGGCACAGGTGGGTGCACTGCTGGGCACAGGTGGGCGGAGCTAGTGGGCGCACTGCTGGGCACAGGTGGGCGGAACTTGCGGGTGGCACTGCTGGGCACCGATCATCAGGGCACTGATCATCAGTGCCCTGATGATCGGTGCCGATCCCCGCTCTGACAACTGCCGGTTCTCGGCAGTACTTTCCTCACGATCTGACAGCGTGAGGAAAGTGCAGCCGAGAACCGGCACTTGCATTTCCCTCTGATCAGCGTGTCATTGGACACCGCTGATCACGTGGTAAAAGGCCGCTGTGATTGGCCTTTTACCACATCACGTGAACAGCTGTGTCCGTAGGACACAGCGATCATGGAGATCGCCGGGTGCGCGCCCCCTGGGGCGCGCAGGAGAGCGCGTTCTGGGAGGACGTCATATGACGTCCACTCAGAACTGGCCGGCCGCAGTGCAGTCATCATTCGGCTATCTGCGGTCGGCAGGTACAGTTGCAAGAAAAAGTATGTGAACCCCTTGGGATTACGTGGAGTTTTGCATGAAGTGGGCATAAAATGTGCTCTGAACGTCATCTAAGTCATAACAATAGAAGAACACAGTCTGCTGAACATAATACTACACAAATTTAGATGTTGCCATGGTTTAATTGCACATAACATGTAAACATTCACAGTGCAGGGAGGAAAAAGTATGTGAACCTTTGGACTTAATAACTGGTTGACCCTCCTTTGGCAGCAATAACCTCAACCAAACGTTTCCTGCAGTTGCAGATCAGACCTGCACAACGATCTGGAGTAATTTTGGACCACTCCTCTTCACAAAACTGTTTCAGTGTAGCAATATTCTTGGGATGTCTGGTGTGAATCGCTCTCTTAAGGTCATGCCACAGCATTTCAATCGGGTTGAGGTCATGACTCTGACTGGGCCACTCCAGAAGGCGTATTCTGTGCTGTTGCAGCCATTGTTTTGTTGAATTACTTGTATGCTTTGGGTCATTGTCCTGTTGCATCACCCATCCTCTGCGGAGCTTCAGTTGGAGGACAGATGGTCGTACGTTTTCCTGCAAAATGTCTTGATAAATTCTGGAATTCATTTTCCCATCAATGACAACAATCCGTCTAGGCCCTGAGGCAGCAAAGCAGCCCCAAACCATGATGCTCCCTCCGCCATGTTTTACAGTGCGGATGAGGTTTTGATGTTGGTGTGCTGTGCCTTTTTTTCTCCACACATAGTGTTTGTGTGTTCTTCCCAAACAACTCAATCTTGGTTTCATCTGTCCACAGTATATTTTGCCAGTAGTGCTGTGGAACATCCAGGTGCTCTTTTACAAACTTCAAACGTGCTGCAATATTCTTTTTGAACAGCAATGGCTTCCTCCGTGGTGTCCTCCCATGTACTCCATTCTTGTTTAATGTTTTCCTTATTGTAGATGTGTCAACAAAAGTGTTAGCATGTGCCAGAGATTTTTGTAGGTCTTTAGCTGACACTCTGGGATTCTTCTTTACCTCATGCAGCATTCTGCACTGTGCTCTTGCAGTCATTTTTACAGGATGACCACGCCTACGGAGAGTAGCAACAGTGCTAAACTTTCTCCATTTGTAGACAGTCTGTCTTACCGTGGACACATGAACATCAAGGCTTTTGGAGATACTTTTGTAACCCTTTCCAGCTTCATGCAAGTCAACAATTCTTGATCGTAGGTCTTCTGAGAGCTCTTTTCTGCGAGGCATGGTTCACATCAGACAGTGCTTCTTGAAACCAGTAAAGCCAAAACAGGTGTGTGTTTTTTAAGGGCAGGACAGCTGTCAGCAACACATCCAATATCATCACACTGATTGGAGTCAAGGTTGGCTCACTCCTGGCTCCAATTAGCTCTGGGAGACGTCATTAAGCTAGGGCCTCACATACTTTTTCCTCCCTGCACTGTGAATGTTTACATGTTATGTGCAATTGAACCATGGCAACATCTAATGTTTGTGTAGTATTATGTTCAGCAGACTGTGTTCTTCTATTGTTGTGACTTAGATGACGTTCAGAGCACATTTTATGCCCACTTCATGCAAAACTCCACGTAATCCCAAGGGGTTCACATACTTTTTCTTGCAACTGTAGTTAAGAGCTTCTACAACTAAAAGGAATCACTGTTAACCATGGATCAGGTGGGCTAACTGCCATACCTGAAAAGACATAAGAATCAAACATCAAAGGGCCAATCGAGTCCAAAGTCTGCTGCCGTAAAACACGGGGAACGGAGCGGCCACCCCACAACTGGGCGGTGACATCACAGGGTGGGGTCACGTGTCCAAGAGTTTTAAACATTAGCATACAGTAGGGGTCTGAAGACCTCTGTTGATCTTATGCTCGACCAGATAGATAAAGAGGAAAGCAAATATAATACACATATAAATGTGAAGAGATCTCAGCAGTGTCCAAAAGGCCATCCAAAGGGAGTATGACATACAAATGAGCAGAATCCTTTCATCCTGGTTCTTGCCTGATTCTCCTCCTTTCCCTTCGTGGAGATGAAGTATGCCAAATAGGGGACACCCAAGGAGTGGATGATAGACGTTGAGGTGAGAGAGCGTAAACCAGGCCTAATTTAACCAGGATTTCTCGGCCTTCAGGAAGAGATGTAGCTACATATGTGCTACCATTGTGTGGGACTATCAGCTTAAAAGGGAAGCCCCATTTGTAGTGGATATGAGCTGAAAAAGGGTAGATGTGATTTCCTTCATTTTTTCTGCGTCTCTCCAACGTGGCCAGGGAGACATCCGGAAATATTTGCAATGTTGAACCTTCAAAAGTGATCATTGAAGTATTGCGGGCAGCCCTGAGTATATCTTCTTTGGTCAGGAAATTATTATTATACAGGACTTATATAGTGGCGACAGTTTGCTCAGCGCTTTACATTATGGAGGGAGACAGTACAGTAACAATACAGTTCAATACAAGAGGGATTAGAGGGCCCTGCTCCTTGGACCTTACAATCTAGGAGGGAGGGGATAGTGATACAAGAAGTAATTAGCTGTGGGGGATGGAGTGGTAGGAAGAGTAGAGGATTCCAGTATTAGCTGGGGTCGGGTTAGGCTTCCCTGAAGAGATGGGTTTTCAGACTGTGCCTAAAAGTGAGCAGTAGTCAAGGCATGATATAATAAGGGAGTGAATGAGTTGCTTAGTGGTTTCCGAGGTTAGGAACAGTCGTATCTTGGAGGTGTTGCAGAGGTGAAGTCTACATGAGTTTGTCAGCGATTGGACCTGGGGATGAAAGGACAGATTGGAGTCTAGGATTACGTCTAGTACCCTGGCGTGAGGGGTGGGACTGATGATAGTGTTGTTGATCTTGATGGAGAAGTCAGGGGGGGGGGGCACAGGCTGGGGGGAATACTAGGAGCTCAGTTTTGGAAAGGTTGAGTTTGAGGAAGTGGAGTGACATCCAGTCCGATATGTCACTTAGTAGACTGGTGATGCGATTGGAGACTGAGGGGGTGAGGTGATGGGTAGAGAGATAGATTTGTGTGTGTCGTCAGCATAGAGATGGTAGTTGAAGCCGTGGGAGTTTATCAGTTGGCCAAGGGAGGAGGTGTAAATGGAGAAGAGGAGGGGTCCGAGGACAGAACCTTGAGGGACCCCAACAGAGAGGGAGTGAAGGGGAGGTGGCAGCGTTATAGGTAACACTGAAGGAGAGCTGCGATAGATAGGAGGAGAACCAGGAGAGAGCGGAGTCTCTGAGGCCAAGAGAGTGCAGTTTTTTGAGGAGCAGGGGGTGGTCAACCATGTCAAAAGCCGCAGAGAGGTCAAGTAGTAGGAGTATAGTATAGTGGCCAATGGTTTTGGCGGTTAATAGGTCATTGGTGAGTTTGAGTAGGGCAGTTTCGGTGGAGTGTAGGGGAAGGAAGCCAGACTGTAAAGGGTCGAGAAGGTTTTTGTCAGTGAGATGGGAGCTCAGGCGATTGTAGACTAAGCGTTCCAGGAGTTTAGAGGTAAATGGCAGTAGGGATATGGGTCTTAAGTTGTTCAGGTTGGTGGGGTCCAGGGAGGGTTTCTTAAGTATGGGTGTTATGTGCGCGTGCTTTAGAGGGAGAGGAAGGTACCGGTGAAAAGGGAAAGATTGAAGATGTGAGTGAGGGAGCATAGGATGGAAGAGGAGGGGGACCGCAGGAGTTGTGAGAGGACAGAGTCCAGGGGGCAGGTGGTGAGGCGGGCTTCGGAGAAAATCTTAGTTACCTCTTTGGTGGTAGTGAGGTCAAGGGAGCAAAGTGGAGGAGAAGGTATTAATGAGGGTAATAAATAGAGATGAGCGAATCGAACCTGGAGAAGTGGAATTCGTTTCGAATATTAGGAAAAATTCGATTCGCGTCGAATCCGAATATTAGCAAACTTCGGATGCACGAATTGAATTTTCCCCGATCCGCCGATTTTCATCCCTTCTACAGCCGGCAAAAAGTGTCCCTGCAGAGAGCTCAGCTATTTCTGACAGTTCTCTGACAGTTCCTTCACATTTACAGCAGTTGAAACATTGTATCTATGTGTGTTTCCATTTAGGATACAGATGTTTTTATTCGGAAACAAATAGATACAATGTTTCAACCGCTGTAAATGTGAAGGAACTGTCAGAGAACTGTCAGAAATAGCGGAGCTCTCTGCAGATACACTTTTTGCTGGAATGGAATTCTTCTTCATCCTCATCCTACTTCTTCATTCTTCTTCTTCATCCTCATCCTCATCCTACTTCTTCTTCTTCTTCATCTTCTCATCCTCATCCTCTTCTTCTTCTTCTTCTTCATCCTCATCCTACTTCTTCTTCTTCTCCTCTTCATCCTCATCCTACTTCTTCTTCATCCTCATCCTACTTCTTCTTTCTTCTTTCTCATCATCCTCATCCTACTTCTTTCTTCTTCTTCTTCTTCATCCTCATCTACTATCTTCTTCTTCTTCTTCTTCATCCTCATCTACTTCCTACTTCTTCTTCTTCTTCTTCATCCTCATCCTACTTCTTCTTCTTCTTCTTCTTCATCCTCATCATCCTACTTCTTCTTCTTCTTCTTCTTCTTCATCTTCATCCTCATCCTACTACTTCTTCTTCTTCTTCATCCTCATCTTCTTCTTCATCCTACTTCTTCTTCTTCTTCTTCATCCTCATCCTACTTCTTCTTCTTCTCTTCTTCATCCTCATCTTCTTCTTCTTCTTCTTCTTCTTCATTCCTCTTCTTCTTCATCCTCATCTTCTTCTTCTTCATCCTCATCCTACTTCTTCTTCATCCTCATCCTACTTCTTCTTCTTCATCCTCATCTACTTCTTCTTCTTCTTCTTTTTTTCTTCTTCTTCTTCATCCTTCTTCTTCTTCTTCATCCTCATCCTACTTCTTCTTTCTTCTTCATCCTCATCCTACTCATCCTCTTCTTCTTCTTTCTTCTTCATCCTCATCCTCTTCTTCTTCTTCTTCTTCATTCATCCTCATCCTACTTCTTCTTCTTCTTCTTCATCCTCATCCTACTTCTTCTTCTTCATCCTACTTCTTCTTCTTCTTCTTCTTCATCCTTCTTTCTTCATCCTCATCCTACTTCTTCTTCTTCTTCTTCTTCTTCATCCTCATCCTACTTCTTCTTCTTCTTCATCATCTTCATCCTACTTCTTCTTCATCCTCATCCTCATCCTACTTCTTCTTCTTCTTCATCCTCATCCTACTTCTTCTTCTTCTTCTTCTTCATCCTCATCCTACTTCTTCTTCTTCTTCTTCTTCTTCATCCTATCTTCTCTTCTTCTTCATCCTCTTCTTCTTCTTCACTTCTCATCTCATCTTCTTCTTCTTCATCTTCTCATCCTACTTCTTCTTCTTCTTTATCCTCATCCTACTTCTTCTTCTTCATCCTCATCCTACTTCTTCTCTTCTTCATCCTCATCCTACTTCTTCTTCTTCTTCATCCTCATCCTACTTCTTCTTCTTCTTCATCCTCATCCTACTTCTTCTTTCTTCATTCTTCATCCTCATCCTACTTCTTCTTCTTCTTCTTCTTCTTCATCCTCATCCTACTTCTTCTTCTTCTTCTTCTTCTTCATCCTCTTCCTTCTTCTTCTTCTTCTTCTTCTTCATCCTCATCCTACTTCTTCTTCTTCTTCTTTCATCCTCATCCTACTTCTTCTTCTTCATCCTCATCCTACTTCTTCTTCTTCTTCTTCTTCATCCTCATCCTACTTCTTCTCCTTCTTCTTCTTCTTCTTCATCCTCATCCTACTTCTTCTTTCTTCTTCTTCTTCATCCTCATACTACTTCTTCTTCTTCTTCTTCATTCTCTCATCCTACTTCTTCTTCTTCTTCTTCTTCTTCATCCTCATCCTACTTCTTCTTCTTCATCCTCATCCTATTTCTTCTTCTTCTTCTTCATCCTACTTCTTCTTCTTCTTCTTCTTTATCCTCATCCTCATCCTCTTCTTCTTCTTCTTCTTCTTGCCATGGGCCCCTGTACCGCCTCCTCATGCTGCTGCCAGGTCCAGACTGTGTCATGTGTCCCTGTACGGCCTCCCATTGCTGCTGTCTCCATCGCCACACTCTGCCATGTGCCACTTTCAGGTCTCCTCACACTGCTGGTGGGTTCCATTTTGTCATAGGGTGCTGTATGGCCTCCCATTGCTGCTGCCTCCACCGCCACACTGTGGCTCCACACTCTGGTTTTGGCCCCGTGACTGCCCAAATGAGTGAAGTGTGCGGTGATTCTAAGATCGACGGCACTCATCTGCATGTCATACTGACTGACAGTATTATTTCTCTTCCCCAGCAGGCTCCAAGGGCATTTAAATTAAAGGTACAGTGTTCTGCACTAATATAAAGGCTCTCTGAAGCCTAGAAACCCTTTTTATAAGTTAAATTCGCAGAAAATAAATTCGCATCGAATCGAATTTATTCCACAAATTCGGCGAATCAGCCGAATCGAATTTTTGAATAATTCGCTCATCTCTAGTAATAAAGTAGGCTTGTTTGGGCAGCGTGAAGTGAGGAAGTGTACGTTAAGAAGGCAGATTTATTGCGGGTGAACGCTTGTTGGGATTTCGTTTTACGCCATAGTCGCTCTAGAGCATGACTATGTCGTTTGAGGTTTCTAGTGTGGTCGGTCTGCCAGGATTGTAGCGGTAGGGGCCTAATGCTTTGTGTTGTTGGGGTGCGAGCGAGTTTAGAGCGGCTGAAAGCGAGTTGTTGTAGACAGTAGTGGCCAGGTCAGGGTAGGACAGGGGATGGATGCTGTCGTAAAGTTGGTCAGTTGCAGAGTGGAAGGGAGAAGGGTTCCAGTTCCGGAGGTTTCTGCTGGTAATTGTTTGCCGTTTGGAGGGATAGGTGTTTGAGGACGAGGAGACGGAGAAGGTGATGAGGTTGGGATCAGAGAGAGGAAAGGGGGTGTTTGTGAGGTTGCAGGGAGTACAAAGGTGAGAGAAGACAAGGTCAAGAGTGTTCCTGTCAGAGTGAGTGGAGGACTGTATGCACTGTGCTTGTGCAAAAGAAGAGGTTATGTGGATGAGTTGGGATGTAGCCGGGTTATTGATGCTGACAGGGATGTTGAAGTCTCCAAGAATGATAGTGGGTAGCTCAGAGAAGAGAAAGAAGGGTAGCCAGGCGGCGAAGTCGTCAAGAAAGCGGGACACGGGTCCAGGAGGCCGATAGATCACTGCAATCCTCAGAGAGATCAGGGAGGATAGCCGGATGCAGTGGGTCTTGAAGGAAAAGAAGGATAGAGAGGGAGGGTTAGGGAGGACTTGGAAGGTGCTCAGTGGTGACAGGAGCAAACCAACCCCACAAGCTTTCTGACCACTGGGTCTGGGTGAGTAGGTCCAGATGAGACCTCCATAGGAGAGTGCTGCGGGGGAGGCAGAGTCTGTTGCTTGGACCCAGGTTTCGGTGATCGCTAGGAGGTTAAGGGAGCGGGAGACAAAGAGGTCATGGATGGAGGTGAGCTTGTTGCAGACCCAGCGGGCATTCCAGAGTGCGCATGAGAATGGGAGGGTGGCTTTGGGGAGCAGGGGGACAGATATAAGATTGAGGGGGTTGCAGCAGTTCACAAAAGAGAGAGGATGTCTTGTGTGTGGGCGAGGTATTGGAGGACCAGGGTTCAGGGAGATATCCCCAGAATTTAGAAGAAGGGTGAGAAAGGTGGCATGGGAGCGGGATGTATATGAGCGTGTATATCTTCCAGTTCTGGTGTTCGGGTCAGCAGGAGAGTGGAGTATCAGGAGGAGGTGATGAGAGCAGCAGTAGGGAGATGGAAGCAGTGAAGGTGAGATGTACAGTTGTGTGGGTGGAGCAGAGGGACAGAGAAAGGAGATTTTGGGGACGTAGGAAAGGAATATGAAAAGGAGGAGTAGAGGAGGCATTTCCAAAGGTAAACGGAGTGGGAATTGGGTGTGGAGAAGAGTTTTCCCCGGGTGCTTGATTGCAGATGGTCCAATGTGCAGTGGAGTTTTTCGAAGTTGTGTCTTCCTACAGCTAGAGTTCTCGTGCTTAAGTTCGGTAGAGTTCAGTTACGTGTCTTGTGGCCAAAGGAAATCTTTCATACACAGGATAATGTCGCAAGGCGATTTATCATTAGGGGGTTTTGGGCACAGAGCTCTATGGATGCGATCACAAACGAAAGATCCAGTATAGTGGTCCGGGAGGAGGGACTTAAATAACTTGATTGTGGCCTGTGAAAGATTAGTCATAGTCTCTGGGATTCCCCGAATTCGTAGATTATGCCTGCGGTTACAATTGTCCATGTCCTCAACCCGTGCCTGCAGCTGCATAAAGGCCGTTTGCAAATGATCGTGATCTCTGGACAGCTCGCCATAAGCTAAGCTGAGCTCATTGTGTTTTGTTTCTAAACGGTCAGTTCTGGAGCCTAACACAGCTATTTCCTGAGAGAGAAATTTTGTGCTCTTGTGGAGTTGTGATTGGAATTTAGCGGCTAACTTGGTGTACATAGTTTCCAGGCAAGATTCCAAATCCCCCTTTGTAAGTTGCTGTGCGTTCTCACTATCCTGAGCTGAAAGATGGGCCGCGGTATCCTGTATGGAACCGGAAGGAGATGCTCGTTCAATGGTATCTTGAGACATGCTGCAAATCCCGTGCGTTTTCATTAAATATGTCCTAAGGGATTTTTGAGCATTACCTCTACTTTTCTTCTTGGTGGACGGTATGCAGGAAGTCTCCTGGGGGTGATCAATTGAAATTTTGTATAGCCAGGGATGGAAATGTCCCCAAGGGACCTATATGCCCAATACTGGTGCAAGAGTATAGTTACATAGATGCAATCAGGCTTCTAAGCACAGCTTCCATATTGTAAAAATGAGATTCAGCATATGGGTTTAATATGTGGCTATCAGCTGTGTGCTTTTATGCAGTAGGGAGCAGGGGATCGCTTGGCTCAGGATCTCCAGAGCTCCTGAATCCAGAGCTGGCCAAAAAGGGGTGCACGGAGCCCAGACACCCGACTCCCAGGCAGCCGCAGGCCCCCACAAGCCTCCAGGCCCAACAAGGGCCACGATCACTATGTTACAGGCTCCAGACACCTGGTGCAGTCCCTGGGGCACTGGTAGGGGATCTGATGGGTACTGGCTGTACTCCCCCCCTGGCTGTACTCACATTTAAGCCGGATGGTTCTCAGAACAGAGTCCTGGTGTTGTTATGGCAGGCTGTGGTAGGCCTCAACAGGCCGGATATGTCAGCTGCTGTGGAGAGGGGCCAAAAGAGATTCCCTCCCCTCTTCAAGGTGCGGGGAGGATGGTAAAGGCCTCCGGTGCCCACTAGAGGCTCCCCACCGCCCGGATGGCAATGGATATTTTGAGGAGGAGAGATTGCGGCAGGCCGCGGTAAGCCGCAAGTGTCCGCTGCCACTGAGCGGGGCAAAAACCACTCCGCTCCCCTCCTCCAGGTGCGGGCAGGGTCGGGGAGGACTCCGGTGCCCGCCGATGGCTCTCTGCTGCCCGGATGGCAGCAGATTCAGATACAGAGCGCCGGAACTTGCGATTATGCGGCTGCTCCGGTCGCCATCTTGGACACGCCCCGATGTGTGTTTTTTTTTAAGAAACTGTACTCACTGTTCAAAATAAAGAACAAAAAAGCCAAAAAGGGACTGAAGAATTGTATTATACAATTCTGTTTTGAAAAATCTAAATAATTTTTGATTTTCCTAAAAATACATGGACATTTGGCAATAATGACAAAAAAAAAACTGTAGTTCAAACATCACTTCCCATTTAGTACTAAACATTATCTCTAAAATTGTGTTAGCTTCAAAGACAAAATTGACAAGAACTAGTCACCATTATAGTTATAAAAGATTCAAATACACATACAAAGGAATCTATATACAAATATAAGCCCCAAATCAATTTACAATATAAACAGACAAATCAAATATATCTAAAGAAGAGTTGAGCTCAAAATTCAATAACACCAGGAGACAGACTCAGTAGACCATTGCCATGATGTGATTCACCATTGCTTCATTAGGAGACCTCCTACAGTTTATTGATTTGCTCTGACACTTCATATTATACAGATTTTTCTTTGATACCATCCGAATTAGAAGCAGGAGAATGTATCTGACACAGATTGCAGAGGCTTTTTAATAAATAATTGCCAGTGAAGTATAATTTAGCATAGTCACTGGACCAAAATATAAAGGAAAATGTCAGTTTTTTTCCTAACCTTAAAAAAATCCATCAGAATATCACACATAGCATTGTACTGAGCGTTTCCATTCTGCAGGGTTAATTTATTAAAGAGCTACATTTTTATAAAGTTGGGGATGGATTTTTTTCAGCCATCCAATAATGGTCAAAAAATGGTCATGTACTGTAGAAAAACAATAATGCACCTATGTATTCATAAAATATTAACTGTATTTTAAAAAAGTAGTTTTACTAGCTGATTTTGACATGGTATCAACTTCTTGTAATCCCCTGTACAACAGAACTCAGACTGAGAAAGGAAAAGTCAGTGCTAGTAGCCAGTCAGATGGGCTGCAGCATTCATGTGCTGACAAGAAGGGAGCAGAGTGATGAGGTCATCAGTTCACAGCTTCCCCTTTACTGTCCCGTTACAGGCTGGGGGCAGGAAGGTGACCTAAATGTATTGTTTCATTGCAGTAGAAAAAAATCAGGTCACTATTCTGGCTCTGGAGTCAGACAGGACTGTGTACATCTTAGAAATACAAATCTTCTGATATGTAAAGCAACTCCCAAACATATAAATTTCAGTGTCCATTTAGCTGTGTGCCTAGAGCAGGGGCGGACTGACCATTTGGAAACTCGGGCACTGCCTGAGGGCCCGGGGTCAGTAAGGGGCACTATGAAATGCCCCTGGTACCTTTTTCATAGGCTTTTTTGAGTTTGGGCAAGGGCATGGGGGCCCCATGATCCCCTATTGCCCGGGGGCCCCATGAGTTGTCAGTCCGCCCCTGGCCTAGAGTTCAGCTTTAAAGAGCACCCTTCATAAGAGAATTATGGACTCTGCCATTGACAGTTCTGTCTAAAAATGTTAGTTGCTTGATTGTGAATGGCATTAAAGCTCAAAACCCCTGGCAGAGATTAAAGACCAAATAATGGTAATCTGTATTGAATAATAAATAATTAAATGTATTTTTTTTAAACAAGCTGTGTAAGAATCTGAATTTGTATGGTATCAT